TTTCTCAAAATATTAAAATTGACAATCATCTACGTTAAATTCTGTTATGTGAGTACGCGCGGAGAATCAACCGTCCCCACCGCATCATAATGGGGAGCAGACGGTGCTGCGAAAACTACACTAAAATAATTCGCAAATAACGAACAGATGGCATCGCCGCTCGATGCCTCAACCTCATCCAGAATTACAGTTGACCCGTACCGCCTCTTCTGCGTTTGAGATATGCCCATAACTGCTTTGCGTCCAATGCAACACCATCCTGCACACGTTTAATATACGCCTTATAATCCTGATCAATCAGGTATTTAGAGCGTCCGCGCAGAAGACGAAACGTTATGTCAATAAATATTGTACAATTTGACTCAAGCAAAAATAAGAAAAAGTTTATCAACATTGGAAAAATGCCAAATTTTCTCTTTGGCCAACAAAGTTAGCAACAAAATCACTGGAATCAAGTGTCTTCAATCATTTAGATACTCAAATATTGCATGTAAGATGGAGTGAGTAATTACAAGACTGGTAATGATGCGAGCTGGTATTTAACACGCTTAATAATTTCAGTGTCTTGGTTATGATATGATCAGAAAATTTGAATTTGAAAAAGGAATTTGACAATATTTTATATCATTTAAATTTTTGTGAATATTCACCCTGTATAATTTCTAACAGCTTGCTTTAAAACATCTTTAAGTAGATCGTTACACGAGAGAATTAATTAGTCGAACCGTCTTGTGTGGCGGCAACTCGAAGGCCGTCGACTGTCGGCGTCAAAAATAAATGGAGACATTCCCCCGGGCATAATTTGAACTAGGAAGAATTGATTATCTTCAGCTCGAAGTTATTATTAAAAACACACTTCCGAAACGACTTATTGGTTTGTTTTAGCAACTAACCGTTCCTAATCATCTTCAAGACTCGTTTCGTTTATTCATTAATTTTCGACTCCCTTTGAAGACGTTAACTGACAAACTATCTTCTGGAAATTAGTGTTAATTAGTGAGTGTATTGATCAACATTAGCGATTTTGTTGCAAAAATAAGATTGTAAGATGAGAACAAAAAGAAAGATTACTTTTTTTTCATCGAATAAAGAAACTTTATCCAAGATAAACCTCTTAATATTTTTTGTTGTAGCCCTTGTCATTTGTTCCATTATTAGTTCCTTAATTGAATATACATTCCAAGGTAAAGAAATCCCCTTGCTACCGATGCCCCGGGCATTTCGGTTGCGTTAACTGATATTTATGTCCCCTCAACCAATTTACTGCGACAAATTAGTTCTTTCGCCTACGTAAAACGGATCTGTTCCCGGAGCTCGAAAAAGCTGTTTGTCGTTTCGGCTTACCTTTTTGTCAGCCAAGCTGTTGGGTCCTAATACACCTCTCCAAGAATTATTTATGTGTTGTTTTTAGATTCCTTGACTTGTCAAAACATGTTGTGAGTGCTAACAGATTAACTTCATCGGGTTGTTATTACAGCTAAAAGAAAGACTTAATTTAAATTAACTTGATTTAAAAAGGAAGTAATAAGACAGTTGATTCCCAGTAATTGAAAGGTTATTCCTTCATTCTTTTTTGTATTTAAAAATATGAACAGGATCGAAATTTTTAATTGGCATTCCCATCTAAATGAACGTTGAAAAACGTTGAACGTAACGGCTAATAAACAATTCGTCGTACCGTTATATTATTTGTTCGACGTTTGTTTTGGGGAAAACTTTTAATGAGCGATGTATACTCATCGACGACTTTTCATTTCGAGGACTCGTTGTTTTTTTTATTGAGTACTTGAAACGGAATGGGACGTTAATTAAAAAATTTTAAATTAACAGTTTTACTTGTTTATAATATTTCTGATGAAATATTTTGTTTTCCACTTTTCGTTATTAATATGATTCAAAAAGTTTATTTAATTACGTAAATTATTAACACATTGAGTGTAATAATCCTGATAATGTATCGATGTTAACCATACGGTGTGGGATATTTGCGCATAATCTACCCTTAAATGCATCTCAATTATCTCGATTACCATCAAGGCTTCAATTTAATTAATTGATCAATACAAGTTAATAACATAATCGATTCCCCCAACTCATCCCACGTACAGATACGCACACACTCCCTCTCAATTTGTATAATTACGAGAATAGGGTTGCATTTGTTGAGAAAATCAAGACGCGAACAAGTGGACTATACAGATCGTTACAACATCCCATACAGGGTGAGTTCTGCGAGTTTGAGGTTGTAGATAGATCGGCGACAAAATCCTGAGGGTAAATCGAATTAAAAAGGGAGTGGATCGTTCGAGTGTTGGCAAATAGACCAAGAGCTGATTCCATTACGGTGTCTATTATTCACTGATTGAAATGAAATTGACACATCTGCTAGTTACCCGACCCCGGATCCCTCTCCTACTTGATCGGAACTGCGCCGCGGTGCATTTCTGCTCATTCAAGGATCCTACGAACCTGTGACGGTCTTTTATCGAGGGCGAACCTTGGTCAAATACAATTAAGTCGGACAACATGTGGACGGAAATAAACTCTCGGTCAGAGAGCCCTAACCGTCCAAATATATTTGCCTTTTCGATTATTTTTTCATTTTCTATCTTCTCGAACGCGTGAAATTGAAATTTTTATTTGCTATTTATATAGACTTGAAATATATATATATATATAATTTTGATTTAATAAAGATATTGACATAATACTGTTATTTTGATCCTACAATGCAACAAGTACAAAGAGGAAGAAATGTACCTCGAGCATTTAATACAATCAACCCAAGAAATATGGAGGATCAGCAAACTACTCCAAAATTCTGTGGACATGGAGCTATTAATTAAAGTTGATCCAATCAATCAACATAAGATTCAATCATTTCTCCGTGTGACTCTAATAATAAGTGGTGTCCAGAATGTCGATCGCCAACAAAATCATGAATCTGAAATATTTATAATTCATTACATATATATGCTATGCGCTAAAATTCGCAATATGCAAGAAATCATGACCATAGCTTTTAAAATCAGTAATTCTATCCAGGCAAAAAGTTTACAAAGAAGACTTTTTAAATTATACGTAGAAGAAAGCGGCCACGAAGGATGCACTGAACTTGTGATGCATACTGAACTTGGTGGTTAAGTAGTTCTTAGTAATTCTTATAGTGTTTTCGCGATTTAATTGACGAAATTCAACAATTTCTTATTACAAGAGGCGACGATTACAGGATGTTGGAAGATAACATTTGGCTTTAAGATTTGTCTTTTCTGACAGATATTACAAGTAAGCTAAATGATTTGAATTTAAAACTTCAAGGACAGAATAAAACAATTTTTGACATAATGAGTTCTGTTATCTAATAGTTATTTATATTACAAGTGGGCTAGAAACATAATTACAGTACGAGTGTGGAGAATTGTAATCACATGAGTACTGTAATTATGCTCTAGCCCACGTGTGATATACAGCATTTTATCTACGACTGCTAAAAATTACTAAAAAATCAATTTCTTTAAAAAAGTCTATTTGACATTTATAAAAATATTTTGAAATGATTGTTGACAATTTTGAATTGTCAGTTTCAACAACATGTTTACTCATCTGGAATAAGTGTTCTGAAATGTAAAACCATAACAATTAATGTTTATAATAAATAGTATTGTTTCTCTGTAAGTAGATAGCACTTTTTCTTTTGTATTGTTGCTAGTTTCAATAAATTAAGTCTGTTCTGATTAGGCTAAAAATGCGTTACTTAATGATACCAATGCGGTAATGAACTTCATTACGTAACTCAAATCACCTCAAATGAGTGCGGTAATAATGACTTATCCAAGCAGTCGTAGATAAAAATAATTTCACTTCTTTTCCCAATATGATGTCGAAAAAGTTGCAGAGAAATTATCTGACTTGTTCGAAATGGATGTACATAAGTTAGAATGTCACTGCAAAATCTTAGATGGTGAGCAGCACCTTTGTACCATGCAGAAAGTAGGTAATCAAGCCTTTAGACTCCAATGCATCGTTCTTTTGTGTATTGTCTTCTTTGGACTTGTGTTCATTTCGGTCTTTTCAGCTGCTTTTCTCCAAAAGTACACTTCCACTGCTTATGGCTAACCCTAGCTTCATACAGCATCACATGGATGAAGATGATGGCATAAAACTGCTATTTCCTCTTCCTAGATATTCTTTTTTGACCAATGAAGGGAGTTTATTGCCTTTTGATCTGTTCGTTACCTAGCCCCACGAGTCGTATGCATTAAATTATTAATTTTGTTGTCATGTATACAAGGTCCTCCTGATCCTAGTAGTGTAGGCTATGCATCTTTATAGGTTACAATGTGCAGTCTTGTTGCCTTTTTGTGATGTTGAAGCTTTCTGATATTTAGTTGGTTAACTTTACTGAAGCTTTGCCACTCTATATAATTCTTGTTTTGCCTCAATTACTGTGTCATTTTTTAATGTTTGTGTTAGATGCTTCTTTAGATCATCAGCTGATTAGAAAGATTTAAGATTTTGCAAATGACCTATTATATCAGAACAAAGGAATTAGTCGCACGCAAGAAATGATCTGAAACAAGTCTATATAAAGATCTAGAAAACAAATTTTATTTCAGATCCTAATATTAAACTCAAAATTGTTCCATCAGTCGGTACTAAATAACGGGCTTTGTCGCATACATGACCGACAATCATGGTCTGTTAATTACCCTTTCTTTTGTTATTACAGAATATCAAATCATATTCATAATTACAAAACAAACACGCCGCCGGTGCGCTTTTAACGTGGCCACTCCCGCCAACACCGAATTCTACCAATGAAAAGATTCCGCAGGAAATCGACCGACCAATCAACGCTAGTGGCGGGGATGCCATTCGCTTTGGACCGCGGATGCTGTTCTACCCTTCGCCATCAAGGCGGCGGGAAGGGATTTTTGGCCTACTCAGATTTAACCGATCATATACCCGGCTAGTTAGTATCCGTTAATCTGTAGGGTTGATTGGATCCTGGAAGAAATCTTAAAAAGTTGAAAACACGTGGTTACATCGATAATTCGGTTAAACAGCACGATATGAACTGACTAATTATGACCATGATGATGATGCAGAGAATCGTCGATCCGGACCATACCAAACAACCAGATCAACTCAACCATCAAACCGATAAACTATGTTCGCCACTAGAAACGTTCTTACCCCAAACGAACAGGATCGTCGAAAACTCACCGCATCATTCAAACAGCGAGAAAAACTCCGATTCCGATGAAGACGATCTCAACGTCGAAGTGGATGTTGAAAACGATGAAAGTCTATGTCCAGTGGATCTAACAAGAAGGCAGGACCGGCTCTCCTTTGAAAATCTGCTACAAGACAACGTGGATGACAGTGAGTTTAAAGGTTACAAACAATTTAAAGAGGATGATAAACTGAGTAACGTTAGTGTTGCTGGGAAACGCGCAGAAAGTGTTTGTAGTGATGTTAGCAGATCGGACAGTCCACGTGAACCAAGCCCATCGGTCGTTTCACAACAAAATAGGAGACTAGCGTTTTCCGTTGAAAATATTTTGGATCCCAATAAATTCACCGGCAGACAAACTGTATTTAGTGATGGAATTTGCTGTTGGAAGCCGTCGCATCAGGAGTCCGTCGGATCGTCAGACTTTGATGGTAGCGAAACTGGTAAGTACAATTCGTTATATTTTTTAAATAGAAAGATTTATTAACTCATTTGCATCATAAGATCATCAAGTTCTTAGTGTTCAAAAAATACAATGACTTGGCTGCATAACAACTAAAACTAGAACTAACTTATCTTTATCATTAGAATTAAGACTAGACCTAGAACTAGAAATTATCTCTTAAACTTTCCAGTTCTAGGTCTAGTGTTAGTTCTTCTTTTTGTTTAATAAAAATATATAGCAACTTAACGCTGAATAACTAGACCTAGCGTAATTGAATAACTGACTAAAACTAGAACTAACACTAGCACTACAACTAACACTAGACCTAGAACTAGAAACATTCGGGTTTAGCCGCACGTCTCTAAAGACGGCTAAACCCGAATGATTCTAGTTCTAGATCTTGTGTTAGTGCTATTGATAGTGCTAGTGTAAAACTAGAACTAACACTAAACGTAGAACTAGAAACATTCGGATTTAGCCTCACGTCGCAAGACGGCTAAACCCGAATGATTCTAGTTCTAGGTCTAGTGTTAGTTCTACTTGAAGTTCAAAGAAATATACAACAACCTAGCCCTGAATAACAACTTAAACTAATACTAGCACTATCACAAGAACTAAGACTAGACCTAGAAGGTTTAGAGACGGCTAAACTCGTTCTATCTTCCTTATGATCCGAACTACTTAACACTTTCTATTTCCATAATAAAATTCATCATGTGATGTTGCTAGTTCAATTGGTCAAAAAAAAAATACTTTGATAATGTTGATCACTTTAACATTTTTTTTTTGAATGATGCAAATGGGGTAAGTGAATAATTTAGATATCAAAAATTAAATGCAAATACGAAATGGAATCGGAAATGCGTCCATTAATTGCAACGTCACGTATCTCGAATATTATAACATTACGTCAACAGCATCGAAACTGTGTAGCATTAATTAAAATGAGCCTAATAGGCGAGAAAATTAAATTATTGATTTGTTATCGACTCTGGCAATTTCATGTAACACTGTCGAATACGGAGAGGCAAATGTAGCTTGTATGCACGCGTTTATCCTTAATTGGTATCATACATATTAAAGCTCTGTAATGTAACGTAGGGAAATTTCGGTTTTCCAAACGGACAGCCATCCGAAATATCCACAATGTAATGCATACATCTAAATAATGTAATAATTTCCTAATTAGTATAATAATTATACTAGTTAATTTTGTATGTCTAGGTATTCAATAATTTTCTAATTGCTTCATTATGTCTCACCTCAACTCTTCGTAAATCAACCTTTAATCGCGAGTGTTAACATGCTCTTCCGCCAGATGGTTGACGTATCACCATCAAAGTGAACAAAGTCTTTAGGAATGAGGTTTTAGTATCAATAAAATTGTCGCGAGAACAAATTTAATTCAAACCGGTCGGATGAGTGAGATAAAAACGACCTATTGATAGAAATATTGACGGAAATAACCATCAACACAAACCGATTTCTATCTTTATATAATATATATAATGTAGTTACATTTTTATATTAATCAATTTAGTTATTTTCACCTTAATTGGTTGGTTAACATGTTTTGTATAATATATCCCTAACGTGTTACATATAAACCTTGATTGGGAGAACCCTGATCCGGTAAATCCCGTTTTGTTGTTGAAGTCGTGGCTGACAGCGCGACCGCAGCGCATTGTTTCAGCGGTATTCAGACAAATGAATGCGGTTAACACGTTTGTCGCTTGTTACGTATTGATTTCACGGGCCTCTGTGATGTTCCCGCGTTACCGACGCTTAATCATACTGAGCCCCCAGATTTAACCGCTACCACTGCTGTATGTACAAAGTGACGCCCTCCTGCAACGACCTTTAACTCTGAAACCAAAATCCAATTATTTCAACACAAACAATTATTGTAACATTCCGATTATGACCTAATTGAGGAAGATTAAAAAAATTGGTTGGATCTAAAATACTTCAATTAAAATTTATCCAGAAATTATGAATGTCTCAAGACTCCCAGGCATATTTATATCAAAATCTCTTCCCAAATACTCCGTTGATAGCAAAACACACATTTTGATTTTTGGGTTACATTCTAGTAGCTGTGGTTGTTGCTCTACATCCAAATCGATATCAATTAGCTTTACCTTATAATTCATACTGTTGAAATTACCTACACAGAGAGTTACACGAAGTTAGTTAATAGTTACACAGTTAAGGATTCAGTAAGCAATGGCATGTCAACTAGTACTTGCAGGTTTGCATTTGTATAGGTTGAGTCACATCAAAATGGGAAATGTGTAATGAAGCATACGATTTTTATTTATAGTAAGAAGAAAGATAAAGTGATGATTTGGAAAGAGTTGGCGTAGTATTGAGAGGTGCAAAAAATATTAATTTTAACTAATATAATTAAAAAAAAACCATTGGGGGTTTTAATAAGTAAAGATTTTAATAAGATTATGTAAAAAACAAAACCAAAGACTATCTCGTTGGCTTCAACTTGTTCAACCCCATCTTGTTCCCTTTCTTTATCACTCTTCCTCGTTCTCTTTCGCAAACAAACAAATACCTCCTCGCGTAAATACAGTCTCTCTTCGCCAACTTTGCAGCGTCTTAGCATTCATGCCACGGTAGAACGACGTCGTTGTTTCCGTTGTTCGCGACGCCGCCACCGACGCGCCACGAATCTCGGGGCTGAGTCGGGGTCGGGGAGGTCGTGTAATTAACAGTCTTAACGTAATTGCCTTTGGGCTCGTTAGCAAGCCGTGAACTTTGTAATTAATCCTTTGGTTTTGCTCTAAGCAGACATATTAATTATTAAAGCAACGGGTCGTTCAGTTTACGTATTGCGACGGTTAAAGTTAAATAAATGTTATTTTTTTAATTAATAAAATCGGAAAACTTTATTAAATAACATTTATTACGTTACAATTGTTTGTGGGTGTACGTTTCTGTCGAAAGCCGGACCTGTTCATGTAGTAGGCGGTCCAAGTAATAGCATCTATGGCGGACTGGCAACGCTGCCGCCCCACTCCTATCTGCCTCCGTCGCTTCTAGGGGAAACGGTTAAGATAATTGTCCCGCTAATTGGGAGTTTTTAGTGGAAGGCGCCGCCGCCAGAAGAGCTGTTAGAGTTCGATGAGCACGGATCGTGTCTAACTGGAACAGTTCCAAAGTAATTAGGAGTTGGATCTCGGGCAATTTTACTTGGCCGCCTCGCAATGGCTCTCATTGTCCACGTTTCCTGCCCGTTTTCGCTACTGATAACGACCCAACGACACAAAGGGTTTCGTTATTATACTCAAATTTGTCATTTGTGGAAATTAATTAAATCATCATTTTTAACTCATTTGCATCATAAGTTTAAATATAGACAGATTTTTCTTGGCTATTTATTATTACCGAAGCGCACATGTATACGTTAGCTACAATATACATGCAATTTTAGTTCATTAAAAATATACAACAACCTAACATTGAATAACAACTGAAAATACAGTGTGTTAATTAATTATCGTACCCGACGTCATCATTGCAAGTATGCAACCAATATCACAATATTGGTATTGCAATACGCGCTTTGTGTATTTGGTTGCATACTTGCAATGATGACGTCGGGCACGATAATTAATTAATTAATACAGTGTAGAGCTAACACTAGGACTAGAACTCACACTAGGCCTAGAATCAGAAACATACGGATTTTGTTGTTTTGAGAGATGAATGGCTAATCCCGAATGTTTCTAGTCCTAGGTATAGTGTTAGTTCAACTTTTAGTTCAATAAAAATATACAACCTAGAGCTGAATAATAACTGAATAAAACTAGAAGTAACACTAGACTTAGAACTAGAAACATACGGGTTTAGAATAACAAATATTCCGTCTCTTAAGATGGCTAAACCGGAATGTTTCTATTTCTAGGTCTAGTGTTAGTTCTAGTTTTATACTAGCACTATCAATAGCACTAACACAAGACCTAGAATTAGAATCATTCGGGTTTAGCCGTCTTGAGACGTGCGGCTAAATCCGAAAGTTTCTAGTTCTAGTGTTAGTTCTTGTTTTAATTGTTATTTGGCATTAGATTGTGGAATATTTGTATCTTAAGATGGCTAAACCGGAATGTTTCTATTTCTAGGTCTAATATTAGTTCTGGTGACAGTGGCAGATAATGCTAGTTAGCATAAGATATCATGTTGCATATTCCTATTGTTCTAAAACTAGAACTAACACTAGACCTAGAACTAGAAACATTCGGGTTTAGCCGTCTTGAGAGACGTGCGGCTAAATCCGAATGTTTCTAGTTCTACGTTTAGTGTTAGTTCTAGTTTTACACTAGCACTATCAATAGCACTAACACAAGATCTACAACTAGAATCATTCGGGTTTAGCCGTCTTGAGACGTGCGGCTAAATCCGAATGTTTCTAGTTCTAGTGTTAGTTCTTGTTTTAATTGTTATTTGGCATTAGATTGTGGTATATTTTTATCTTAAGATGGCTAAACCGGAATGTTTCTATTTCTCGGTCTAATGTTAGTTCTGGTGACAGTGGCAGGAAATGCTAGTTAGCATAAGATATCATCATGTTGCATATTCCTATTGCACTAAAACTAGAACGAACACTAGACCTAGAACTAGAAATATTCGGGTTTAGCCGCACGTCTCTCAAGACGGCTAAACCCGAATGTTTCTAGTTCTAGGTCTAGTGTTAGTTCTAATTTTATACTAGCACTATCAATAGCACCACCACTAAACGTAGAACTAGAATCATTCGGGTTTAGCCGTCTTGCGACGTGAGGCTAAATCCGAATGTTTCTAGTTCTACGTTTAGTGTTAGTTCTAGTTTTACACTAGCACTATCAATAGCACTAACACAAGATCTAGAACTAGAATCATTCGGGTTTAGCCGTCTTGCGACGTGAGGCTAAATCCGAATGTCTCTAGTTCTAGGTTTAGTGTTAGTTTTAGTTGATACTAGCACTATCTCTAGAACTAACACTAGACCACTAAAAACATTCTTAAAGTTTCTAGTCTATTTTTCTTTTTTACTTTTAATTGGATTCTGAATGATGCAAATGATTTAAATATATATCTTAATAATTGTATTAGTAATTTTAAACGATGTATATCAACAGTTGGTGAGGTAATAACAAATTTATTTCCTGGTATTAACACAAAGTGTTCATTAGATTAATTTTAATTAGTCATTTATGGAACGAATGATATAAAAAAACATTAATAAACTATTCATTATGGATAATCCCCATTTTTATCCCATACTAATGCAGTTTATATCGACCCGTTTTGGTGTTTTTCATTTTCCGCGTTATTATAACCGCAACCACTTTCTTCATTATTGGTAAATTGATGATGTGTTGAAACTAATAAATTGATAGGCGTGGAAGAGTACATTCTTCATCATTACAATTTTTCATTCTATTTATCATTCGATTTGGTTTGATTGGGAATTCCTTTATATCCCGCAAATGACTCGTCTTCCATTTATATAAGATAGTTTAGGTTATTATTAGTTATTAACGTAATTTTTTTTTTATTACAGGTAAAGAACATCACGATGATGATGACGACGATGAAATACACAGTGATATAAGCGATGATATGAAAGATCCAAATTCAAAGAAGAAAAAGGGGGATTCAAAATCTCAAAATTCTGGAAAACCACGTCGTGCAAGAACGGCTTTTACATACGAACAACTGGTTGCTTTAGAAAATAAGTTCAAAACAACCAGATATTTGAGCGTTTGTGAACGTTTAAATTTGGCGTTAAGCTTAAGCTTAACTGAAACGCAGGTGAAAATTTGGTTTCAAAATCGACGAACGAAGTGGAAGAAGCAAAATCCGGGTATGGATGTTAATTCGCCGACGGTTCCTCCTCCTACCGTCGGATCCGGAGGAAGCTTTCCCGGTTTTCCAGGACATCACACACACTCCGGCCTATTGTATTCACACCATGTGCCATACGGAAGCGTTTATCCATTGCAAGCGACGGGTTCTGGTGGTTACGCCCCTTATTTTCACCTTACAAATCATGGTCATAATATAGGATCCTGAATTTAAAAGTATAAATCCCCCAAAAAATGTATATATATATCACTTGAAAGATCTTATATTGAGAGGCATTTGACTTGTATAATATTGTAAATGATTGTTGTCTTTAAGCGAGATATAAAAAAGGTGTAGAATGTATTTATTTGAGCCGTACTCTGTAAAACTGATGTAAATATAGTCTTAATATACCCGTTTTAATTTCTTCGTTTCTACTTTTTGTGGTTTAAATCCTATAAAATCATTTAATTAATATCTAGGTAAGTATTAATAAATTGTGAAATCCTATAAATTTAATGATGTAAAAGGAGAGTTTTGAACTGGTTTAATAAAAAGTTTGTGATAAAAATTATCTATTGCAAAAGGTTCGTCTTGGTATTTCATTAAACAGAAACAAACATAATGTAACCGCTTAATCCATGAATTCCTTATATGGATTAGATGGTCAGAATAGATTTACCACAAAGCTTATATACTTTGCGGTAATTCTAAGATAGATGGCAAATAAATCGATAACTTAGAAATCATTTATTGGTTAAATATTAATTGCAAATTAAATTCGATAATGAAATGTTTAAAATTTTGGTGATGATTTTGTAAAGAAAGCAAAGAGATTTGTGCGACATGATGATCGTTAAGTTACAACATGTGTTCGTAGATTGGAAAGGGAGTTGACGCCCTAACGCCTTGTTCTACTTAAATCGACATTCGATACTTGTTCGAAAGTGAGGAAAGGACGAACGACACCCGGTGACGCTTCCACACTACCAAAAAGTAGATGTGACGCATATCAGAAAAGGTGACGTAAGCGCTTTAACGTGTTTCGTAAATATTGTATAGAAGTTTGGAAGAACAACTCGTAAATATTTCAGTTTGTTATTTTTTATTGTCATAAATCAAGTTTATATTTCTTACAGAAAATCGAATATTATTGATATATTGATATAAATAAAGATATACCTGTTATTGATATCATGGATATTGTAACAATATCGTAGATAATTAATTTGTATAGTCTTTGGATTTATCGATATGTTACCGGAACTCTCCGTTATGCCACTAGGCAAACTTTGGTGTGCCAAATGAGGCTCAGGCAAAGTCCGAAAAGTGTAAATTAATTTTGAACCTAAGTGGGTTAGGCAAATTAAAGGTGCACAGAAAATTTAGCACATTCAAAGCATTGTCTCTGCCTGCTCTTTTAATCCTTCGACAGCTTTCTTTTGATTTGAAGTCATCGTTTTTCTTTTTGCACACCGAAGACATAAAACTGATGCTCTGAAACCCTCGTTGGTATTACTTGTACTCTGGGCACAGATGACATGAACATCCTGCGCATAGCTATAACATTTATGGACTCCTGAAGTTTCTTTTTCGTATATGTCCAAGTTTGGCATATCATAATCAAGGGATAGATATAGGAGATGTTGCTTTAGTATTTTCTGCATTAAGACCACGAGTGGAATTCCCCTGCTCCACAGTAGTTGCAAGTGCCTCTTCAAGATCTTCTTCAGTTCTAAGAAGTTTTTTGATAGAATCAGGCCAGAAACTGTTATTGTTTTTGTACTGAACTAAAATTATTGCTTACCGAACATCGCTTCAAAAGGTGTTTGTCAAATTCTGCTATTCTTCGACAAAAACGAAGACCTCCGCTCCAATGCTTACTGTTATTGTCTTCCATCCACGCAAATAACATATCTTCTACGTCTCGGTTAGATCTCTCCACACTCCCTTGACTTTGCGAGTTTTTGGGTTTGCCATGGACTATTGCTAGCTCGGGACACACTTCCCTTAACTCTTCAACTATCCAATTAGCAAACTCGCCTGTTATCCGACTGCAACACGCTGGGAGTTCCCAAAATACAAAAAACTTCCTCTGCTGTCTTCAATGGACGTAAAATTATAAACTTAGTTAGATGATCCTGTTAGTTAAAAATATATCGGAAATCACCATCACGACAAGTCTGCATATCTACTTCTACTTCTTTAATAATTTCCTGGTAGCGTTGCTTGGTGTCAATTAGAAATGAATTTCATGACTTGTAATATTCATGACCATAAATTTAGATCTCAATTCTATTTCGGTATCGGTTGCATTTATTGCACTTCTCATTTTGAAATAGTTCGAAAAACTTTTAGCTCGAAGAACACTCAACCGCAGTAAGGGAAAGACTGAAGTTGAAACTTGTTCGTATCACTGTCAAGAAAAGCACGTGAAACCCAAGTTTGCCTGACCCGCTTTAGACAAAGTCAGAAGTTAATTTACACTTTTCGGACTTTGCCTGATCCTCATTTGGCATACTTAAGTTTGCCTAGTTGCATGTTAGGCAAAGCCCGACATTAAAAGTTATTTCAGGCTTGGTCAAAAATGCTCGGGCAATGTGCAAATTTCCCTAGTTAATCTTAGGTGTGCCGGCATAACGGAGATTTCCGGTAATAGATATACAACAGAGCCTAGAACTCGCAAACAACCTCGGTTTAACTAGTTAAAAGGTTTACAAGTTCACCTATCAAAAGCGAGCCAAAGTCGCACCAATATGATGATCAGTTTCTGGTTGATTTAATGTTAATTACTGAGTCTCAGCTGCAAGCGACCTCAGTTTAATTAATCAAAAGATCTACAACTTTACTTGATAAAGCTGAAGACGCATACTACCAAGACGCCACAATATGATGATCAGTTTCATTTTGATATGATATTATAACTATTGATGATTTTCCCGAAGCAATTGCACGTCTTAATCATGACCTTTCCAATATTTTGGATTGGTCTAAACGTTATGGCCTTAAATTAAATACTGCTAAAACTCAAGCAATTGCGTTTGGCAGTCGACCTTTACTGGCAAAGCTGAATGATTTTTCATCCATTCACTTAATGCTTGACGGAGACATTATTCAGCTGTCAGACACGGTTAGAAACCTTGGGGTGGTTATGGATTCTACAATGTCCTGGAAACCTCAAATTCAATCCGTCTGCAGAAAGGTCTATCATTGTTTCCACTCACTGAAAAGTCTCCGTTGCTTCCTTCCTCCCATGATCCGTCGTAATCTTTGTTTTTCCCTGATTTTCCCCCATATTGATTATGCTGACACGGCATATCCTGATCTTTCGGTAACACTACGAAACAAACTGCAAAGACTTCAAAACAACTGCATACGGTATATCTTTGATCTCGAGAGATCTCAACACATAACCCCATACCGTAATTATTTGCAGATATTAAGCTGTCAGAACCGTAGATCGTTTCGTATATTAACTATGTTATATACTGTTCTTCACAATCAAACCCCAAGGTATTTGTATTGTATATTTCAACGCTTGTCGTCGCATGGTTTACCTACTAGATCTCAGTTAGATTCTGTGCTTATGTTCCCGACCCATAGTACCGAGATTTACCATAAATCGTTTGCTGTGCAGGCAGTAACCCTTTGGAATAGTCTGCCTACTGAGATCCGTAATATTCCTCACCTTGTAACATTTAAAAACCACCTAAAACGTCATTTATTGGCTCTTCAAGTATCTTCCTGAAAACTTTTTCTTCTCCCTTTTCTTCTCTTCTTCTACTTTTCTTCTCTTCTCTTCTTCTTTTATTCCAGCAACTATCATTATGCACCGTTGTTAGTGACCATAAGTTTAGCATAGCAGCTTGCCGTTTATTCATAGTTTTTCTTATATAACTTAGTATACTGCTGATTGATTGGGTTGTTTGGAAGATATCGCTTACGCGATAAATCGACCCTTTTGCCCATATTTATGCATTAAGTTAAATGTATACATTTTCTTTAATTTGTATTTTTTGTTTCTTATTATGGCAATAAATTTATTTATTATTATTATTATAATCACTGAGCCTGGGAAGTGATATCTAGAGTTTTATTTAAAGAAGTAGAACGAGTATAAACTTGCGTCTCAGTTATGATGATATGATATTGCTTAAGGAATATGACATTTTCATCGTTTCGACGTACATACCTTCAATACATTTATGTTATTGCTCCTACTCCTAACATTTTGCTTCTTTTCATAATATTTAGCTTGTGGGCATAATGTATTTTTGTTCAAAAACTCAAATTTATTCTTGTGCAAATCCAAGTTCGTTTTCGTACCAAAACTCTTCTCGCATGGTTATCATATATCGATTAACATAAATTTTTGATTCATATTTGTGGATTATTTTGAATCTGAAGCATTTTAAGTTGATGTTGATTCTGTCTATAAAATGTAGTTGGAACATATTGATTTTGTAGCAATTTAAATTCGTCCATAAAGATCAATCGTATCTAATTGTGTAAATAGTTGTTGTAGTAAATAAAGAAAAGTTCGTAATAATCTGTGTGATAAAATATAATATACTTGGACCATTGTTACCAAGTTTAATTGTGCTGTTGTTGATGAAGCGATACTAAAGCAAGCGCATTGTCGATAAGGTCATTCTAATCAAAACCCATTGTTCCGACCGTAATAATTTCCACCATATCCGAGGAGGTTGAAGTCATACACCGCACCAGGTCTCGAATGGGATATCCCTACACCGTAATCGAGTATGCATTAAAAAGGGTCGATCCTGCAATAATCCCCGAGTGTCATCACCGTAACATCCACAATCGGTACAACAACCCGCAACAAAAGAAACAGATTTTATCGCGGTTTTAGTTGTTAGGGCTGGCTCCGCGGAGGGAAGATCACTATTAATTTTATTTCGCCGACAGTTTACAGGGCATTAATGAAGTCCCCAGTGTAATATTGTCGCCACGTCATATTTCAGCGTCCTTTGGGACCGACGCTCTGCCGTTTCTGTATCGCGCAGTAGGTGGCGGCGAAGCCTCGATAAATTGGTTCCGTGTCAGATGCTCAGAAGACCGACACCATACGATTCTGACTATGCCACCAACCATCTGGACCCAAAGTCATCATCCCCCATATAACTTGAACTAATGGTATCTAATCGTGATCTACAAATGTGATTTATTGATACACAGATAGTTAATTTTTAGAAAAAAATATAAATTTAATGGAAATTGACCACCCTTTAAAAGTAAATTTAATTTAGTCGTGAAGTGATGGGAATAATTAGGAAATCACTTGTGAAAGGGACAGACGAGTTTAAGCGGAACCAGAGAACCGGACCAAAACTCGTCGCGGGGGTAAAACTCTCTCGGTAGTCGGTCGTTCGCAATCGCGCGTTTCCATTTTATGGTGACAATGGC